TGTCACCTCTGTGACCTGCATTCATCCAGTGTCTTAAAATGTAGGTCACCAAACTATATGCGAACAGGGCCTGAAAACATCCTCTGTAAAAAAAAATACCTTTTGAATAAAGAAATTAGTAACTAACAGTTTTGCCAACATGATTCCACTCTTCCCTAGCTGTGGCCCATGTTCCCATTTTTTTAAAAGGGGCATCACAGCTAAGGGCTTTCTATAATTTAGATCCTAATGCCCCATAAACACTATAAGAAAATCATATGAACATTTTTGTACGAGGACTGATCGTCCGATAATTGGATCGTTAGTACACAGCTTTCGAGAGCCGATCACGACAATTCGTGTGACAATATCCGAAGGGACAAGCACAAAAATGTTTCTCGTACTATACCAGATCATCCGATTTTCGTTCAATCAGTACAGTAGTCGTCTGAAAATACAATACAAATACAATACAATACATGACATCACTTTCGAAATTCTTTACTTTTATAGGAGAATTTTCGTATCTTTAGCAACCTTTTCACTTTCGATGTGAGACTAGCAGGCAAAAAAAAAACAGGTGACTGTTCGTCTGATATTCTCATCATGTGTATGGGGCTTAAAAGTATTGTGATAAGTCTCTTCTTACTGAACAGAGGCTAATAGGCAACACAGTGGCTAAGTGGTTAGCACTTCTGCCTGGCAGCACTAGGGTCATAAGTTTGAATACCAACCACAGCACTAGCTGCCTGAAGTTTGCATGTTCTCCTGTGTGGGTTTCCTCTGGTTTACTCCCACACTCCAAAGACATGCTGGTAGGGTAATTGGCTTCTGTCTAAGTTAGACCTAGCATATGAATGTCAGTTAGGGACCATAGATTGTAAGCTCCTTGAGAGTAGGGACTGATGTGAATGTACAATATATATATGTAAAGCACTGTGAAAATTGATGGCGCTATATAAGTACCTGTAATCAGGGCTTTGGATAAGGGGGGTACCACCAGTCCTCCTGTATGGGACCAAGACCAGCAAGGGGGCCCAGGCAGTTGGGTTAATCAGATGTGGGCAAGGAGGTTGATCGGCATGGGGGGTGAAGGGTCAATAACTGGAACTGATCCCCTGTATGGTTCTCTCTGCAGCAGCTGAAAGCTGGCTTCTTCTCCACTGCCTCCTGATGGCTTTCAGCTGCTGCAGAGAAAGCTATACAGGGGATCAGTTCCTGTAATTGACCCCCCTCCGCACTCATCACCCTCATGGTGTACAATGTTTTCCCCCTGCTGCCCTGGCCCCCCTGTGTGGCCCCACATCTGCAGTGCTTCCGGCCTCTATCCTCTCCTTCCCACCGACAGCTGCAAGCACACAATAGGATCCTTCAGGATGGAAAGTGGAGGAAGGTTCTGGGAAATATGTCAAATTTACCGCCCTTCCTTTCCTGAATGAACACAATGAGTGATCTGTACCAATCACTCATTGTCTTCCTTCATAAATGAAGCTTAGTAAACTGTGCTTTTGTTTGGGGAGGAGGGCCCTGTCATGTTGGCTGTATGGGGCCCCGTGGTTTCCAACAGCAGCCCTGCCTGTAATAACTAAATAATAACCTCTGCAAGCAGACATCATCTGATTTCAGAGCTGTAGACCAGCTCCAGAGTATGTTTCACACTGTCAGTGAAATTGAAGGAGTGTACATTGTCCTGCTATCAGTATGTAGCTCAAAATCAGCAAAATGCTGCTTTCTTTTTTTAAATAGATACAATAGTAAGCGTTAAAATTCCACATTCAGACAATAACTTTGCAACAAGAAGGTGAAGAGCTAATTTGACAAAGGTCTGTCAGTGATCCTGTCCTGTTAAAGTTATAATTATTTTTTTTTGCACCTTTATGGTACATTATAGTATCAGTATTTTTTTTTTAGTTCATCATTACTAAAGAACAAAAATATCACATACAAATAACGTAGCTAAACATACAAATAAATGGCCCAGCTCCTTAAACAAATTTTGTCCATTCATACGGATGTTATAATTGGCTCACCTGCATGTGACAATTAGAATGAAAGAGGCTGCTGTTACCTTACTTCCCCAGAGGCAGGACTGGCTTCTGTTTTAAAAGTCTGCTTTAGTAAACCATTGAAACCAGGATTTGTGACAACGGCAGCATAAGTCACACTTTGACAGTTTTTATTTCCTCTTACTGTTGCCGAGAGATAAATCACTTCTGCCCTAATAATTTAAAGCCTTCTTTGTCTTCTTTGCTTAAGCAGAGGTCAGTGATTGTGACCCATTGCTATGAGCTGCAATGCATCATGTTTATTTAAGGTGCCAGTGCTTGTAGACTTCAGGTTTATGATCAAGCACCAGAATGGAAAGTAAAACATAGTGTACTTTTCCTTTAAAAAAAAAAAAATAAATATATATTTATTGCTAAAGTAGAATTCTAATCAGGTAAACCTTTAATAAAATCTTACATAATATCAAGTCGACAATCTTGGCTGCTCCTCTTTTCCAAGTGCCCCCATAGCATGCTGTTTTTATGGGGGCCCTCATGCTGGTTCAATCCCAAACAGGGCTGTGTGCATCCATAGACAAACATGGCTCAGCCCTGACTCCCACCTCCTCCTCCTCACAGGATTTGACTGACAGCAGCAGAAGGCTATGTCTCCCTCCGCTGGTGAGTCAGCATTGGAACGCTGTGGTAGTTCATTGAGTCTGTCAGTAAGTATCTGCTTGCTCGTACAGGGTGTACACACAACACTGATAGGTCTGCAGGAGACCTGCATGGCACCAGCGATCTGCTGATTGCTGGTGCAATGCTTTAAAAGCTTGAGAAACCAAAAAATAATACATGCACATTTTTTTACTTGCAAAAAAATGTGCATTTATTATTTTTTGTTAAAAGGTGAACTTATCCTTTAAGGCAACGTCTAAGGAGAAATTTGGATACCATTGTATCTTGTGTGTTATGCCAGGAAACACCTGGACAATTAATTCAGTCAGCTAAAGGTGCCTACAAATATAAGAGTAATTTATAAAAATAATTTAACTGACGTAATTAATAATTCTGAGTTAACTTTTAGACAAACAAATTCTTTTTTTAAAAACACAAATTCGATCAGTGTAAGATGGTTTTGAAATAATGAAATAAATTAATATTTATTCACAATAAGTCGCATACAAACACATAATATAGTAGTTGGATTTCAATGCACATAGACACCAAGATACCAAGATAATTCTAAGAGGAGTTCCAAAATGTATCAGTAACCAAAGATTATATTCTCTCTCTCTTATATATGTATGAATACATTCAATAATTAACTTCTCCACATAGACAAAATAACCAACAATAACTATCAGACAATAGTCTGTGTTTTACGGAATTTCAACGGTTATTCCCCTGCAGAAGGAATAAGAGTCAGACTATGCAAAATATGTATGCCAATATGGCCCGAGACCAAAACAAAATTTGGGTGGTTATGCTATCGTGAGGAGAACAATTAGGTTACACCAAGAAAAATGACAATAAGCTTATTAATCTAGTCAAGCAAAATCCCCAGAATACACTATATTGCCAAAAGTACTGGGATGCATGCCTTTACACGTACATGAACTTTTATGGCAGCACAGTCTTAGCCCATAGGGTTCAATATTAAGTTGGCCCAACCCTTTGCAGCTATAACAGCTTCAACTCTTCTGGGAAGGCTGTCCACAAGGTTTAGGAGTGTGTCTATGGGAATGTTTTGACCATTCATCCAGAAGCGTATTTGTGAGGTCAGCCACTGATGTCTAACGAGAAGGCCTGGCTTGCAGTCTTTGCTCTAATTCATCCCAAAGGCATTCTATCGGGTTGAGGTCAAGACTCTGTGCAGGCCAGTCAAGTTCCTTCACCCCAAACTCACTCATCCATGTCTTTATGGACCTTGCTTTGTGCACTGGTGCGCACTCATGTTGGAACAGGAAGGGGCCATCCCCAAACTGTTCCCACAAAGTTGGAAGCATGAAATTGTCCAAAACGCCTTAAGAGCTCCCTTCACTGGAACTAAGGGGCCAAGCCCAACCCCTGAAAAAAACCCCACACCATAATCCCCCCTCCACAAAACTTTACACTTGGCACAATGCAGTCAGGCAATTACTGTTCTCCTGGCAACCGCGAAACCCAGACACATCCATTGGATTGCCACACAGAGAAGCGTGATTTGTCACCCCAGAGAACACGTCTCTACTGCTTTAGATTTCAGTGGCGGGTGCTTTATGCCACTGCATTCATCACTTTGCATTGCATTTGGTGATGTTATGCTTGGATGTAGCTGCTAAACCATGGAAACCCATTTCATGAAGCTCTCTATGCACTGTTGTTGTGCTAATCTGAAGACCGCACGACGTTTAGAGGTCTTTAGCTATTGACTCTACAGATAGTTGGTGACTTTTGCACACTGTGCACTTCAGCATGCACTGACCCCACTCTGTCATTTTATGTGGCCTACCACTTCGTGGCTGAGTTGCTATTGTTCCCAGTTACTTCCACTTTGTTTTAATACCACTAACAGCTGGAATATTTAGTAGCAAGGAAATTTCACGGATGGATTTATTGCACAGGTGGCAAGCTATCACGGTACCACACTTCACTGAGCTCCTGAGAGTGACCCATTCTTTCACAAATATTTGTAGAAGTATTCTACATGCCTAGGTGCTTGATTTTATACACCTGTGGCCATGGAGGTGATTGGAACACCTGAATCCAATGATTTGGAGGGGTGCCCCAATACTTTTGGCAATATAGTGTATATATTTATATACCGTATTTTTCGCTCCATAAGATGCACCTGACCATAAGATGCGCCTAGGTTTTAGAGAAGAAAAACAAGAAAAAAAGTATTCCGAACCAATGGACTGCAGACACAGTACAGGAGATGACCAGAGACTGCGGACACAGTACAGGAGATAACCAGAGACTGCGGATACAGTACAGGGGATGACCAGAGACTGCGGACACAGTACAGGAGATGACCAGAGACTGCGGACACAGTACAGGAGATGACCAGAGACTGTGGACATAGTACAGGAGATGACCAGGGACTGCGGACATAGTACAGGAGATGACCAGAGACTGCGGACACAGTACAGGGAATGACCAGAGACTGCGGACACAGTACAGGAGATGACCAGAGACTGCGGACACAGTACAGGAGATGACCAGAGACTGCGGACCTAGTACAGGAGATGACCAGAGACTGCGGACATAGTACAGGAGATGAATAGAGACTGCGGACACAGTACAGGGAATGACCAGAGACTGCGGACATAGTACAGGGAATGACCAGAGACTGCAGACAGTAAAGGAGATGACCAGGGACTGCGGACATAGTACAGGGAATGACCAGAGACTGCAGACAGTAAAGTAGATTACCAGAGACTACGGACCTTTGGGGAGGGAGGGGGAACGGGTCCTGAATTTGACAGGTACCCGCTCCTACTTCCGTGGAGTTGTCCTTCCTTCTTCTTCCCGTGGCGGCTTCTGTGATAGCCGGGTGCCCACTGCGCATGCGCGAGAAGTGCTGCGCTTTGTGAATGGCCCGGAGCCTTCTGAGACCTGTCATGTGTCCCAGAAGACGCCGGACCATTCACAAAGCACAACGCTTTTTGCGCATGCGCAGTGGGCACCCGGCCGTCACAGAAGCCGCCGCGGGAAGACTGCAGCGCTGGAGTGAGGAAAATGTAAGGTCCTGCAGGAGAGAAGAGCTGAGCGGCCGGCCCGATATTCTGACCGGCCGCTTTACATTCGCTCCATAAGACGCACTGACATTTTCCCCCCTTTTTTGGGGGGAAAAAAGTGTGTCTTATGGAGCGAAAAATATGGTAGTTTGTCTTTTGTGCATAAACAAAATTTTAATCAAGAAAAAAAAAAAATCTCAGTTGGCAAAGATATTGTATCCTGAATGAACTGAGACCTGAAAGTGACCCTGGATTTTTGGGGCCTATTCAGTTTAAAATAACCATGATTTCAGTTGGAGAACATATGTAAGTATAGTTCCTCTCATAGAAATTCTGGCACATGATTCCACAGATGTGCACAATTTTAAGAGTATTTTAAGGGTATAATATTGTGTTTGTTTGCACTAAAATTCATTTTAGTCTATTTTTTTACTTAAAATATGTGTTTGATAGATAACACAAATATTGTGTAACATAAAAATTGTAACTCCCACCATTTTAATCTCCAGGGTCTTTGCTTTCAGAAAATATACAGTATACAATATACAGTGAAAGGGGAGGGAAGTTTACAGTAATTTCTAGCATACAATGCAGATTTTAACAAATGTGACAAGTGGTTGAGAGGCATTCTTAGCATCTGAACCTAGGACACTTCTTGGCACCTTACATTCACAAAAGAATTTGATGTGTTGTTGTTGCAAAGACATGTGTTTGCACTGCTCTGGATTAAACAGCCACTTCCACATAAATCAGCTGAAATGAACCCCAATGCACAAGAATCTAGGTCAGGCTGCATTTTTTCCTCCATACATCTTATCTCATCACAGTGCGCTGTGATGTGCTGAGGTGCAATTTTAGAGGTGCATTGAGATGGCATTCAGCTCAGAGCACCAACAGGAGGATTGTGCATTGCCACGTTTTGCGCATTAACGCAACTCTCCTGTGTGAATGGTAAGCATAGTCCTGCATAATTACCATAGCAATTTATCAGCGCTCAAAGTATTTGTGCAGTTAATGAAGACAAGGTTTAATTGAATCTGAACTTCTAGGAGTACATGCCATCTGTCACAGAGTAAAAGTCACACACACAACATCATTAGCTACATGGAAGACACAGAAAACGCCATTTGTCATAGAAGTAAAGTCACACAGAAGACTATTAGTCATTGGGGAAGAGCCAGTATTCTGTGCATATTATGGTAAGAGTTCTGGGGACACCATGCAAATTGAGTTCCGCTTTCAGTAATGCCGGGAGATGATGCTGAAACAGTCACAGGCATCAGAAAGGATTTGTGAGGCATGTGTCTCTAGTGCCTGAACTTAGTGTAACCCCTGGCCTAATCCTTTTTTTTTGTGTGTGAAGCCTCTGAGTTCTCCTGCTCTTCCAAAATACATTAAATCAATCCCTATGCACATCAATAATATTTTTAATGTATGCTCCTGCAGAAAGCTGTCATTTAGTCTTGTGTATGAACCTGTATTTTAATGAGAATCCACTGGAGGTTCCAGGCACAGAAATACCCTATCATGTGCCCTCTGGTGGGTTCTCTATATTGGCAACCAGTGCAAAAGGCAACTGGATCAAAAAACCTACTTTGTTTCATAAGGTTGTGCTGATGGAGGGGAAAGAACATAGATGCCACTGAAGCAAGGGATTAACCACCTCTATACCACCATATGTATATACAGTATATATGGCCTCATGTTGAGGTGGTTATACCGAGATCATGGTTGAGTTCCCAGTACCATTTTTTTCTGCTGGCAGTTCTCTTTCTAATGAAGTGATCAGAGCAGCACTGTCACAGGCTGTTCTTCCCACTCTGTGAGAGAATCCCATTCTTCAGCCGCCTAACACTGATGTTTTCTCAAACCAGCCATTCTCTATCTAGTTACTGACTTTGTTCACCAGTTACACATGTTAAGGCCTAGTTAATCTAGTCATCAGAGTTTGCTGCAGTGACTGTCCTCTGCAGGCCACGCCACACCACTGCTGTTCTTGCAAGTGGCCCACATTTATCAAGGGACACCTTTCATTATTGCTACTGCGGCCTACAGAGGAATTAGCCCTAACCAACAGGTGCTTCTGCCCACCCCTGAAACTTCTTGTTAAAACCTGCATCTCATTTTGTGGGGTACTACCCAAGTTTAATACTGCTCTGAGATCAGAAACAGGAAGAGATAAGGATTTCATCACTTCTGGTTTCATTTTGTTTCCTTACAAGCTGTTACCAGCTTGTAAAGCAGCCAATCAAACAGATCTCAGCTTGATTGGCTGCTTTGGCAGAGGGCAGAGGAGAGATCTGAGATCTAATAGACCCCAGATCTTTCCATAAAGTTGATTAAAAAAAAAAAGAGACAATGTCGCGATCAGGGGTCAAGCTCGAAGACCAGTTGCTATAGCAGTGGAAGGGCTCACACCAGCAGGATAGGTACACAGGCAGGTCACCGTGGCGGAGGAGTGGGCTCACCTGAGGTTCAGAGTCTAAGTACTAACCGGTTTTCACCAGAGCTCCTGATGGTGGTGATGGATTTTGCTGCGGAAGTCCAGTAGTGTATTCAGCAGATAAGGATCAAACAGAAGCATAGTCAGTAAACAAGCCAAGGTCAGTAATGATCAGTCGAAGGTTGGGATCAGGCAGAAATATAGTTAAGAACAAGCCAAGGGTCAATAATGAGTGGTAGCAAAATATGGATGACAACAGAGAAGGCAAGGAGCAAGATACTGGCTGGAAAGCACAATAATCTGGAAAACAGGAAGTGCAGAGACATGGCCTATATCAGGAAGTTCATGGGAGGAGCAAGGTGTTCAAGATTCATGACAAACAAAGTCAAGGGAGAATCATTCAAATATTTGTCAAGAGAGCTGTCCAGCATTCCAGGTGGTTCAGCAAGAAGCAACATTGCCACTCACCGCAGTGGCCCAGGTTCAGAATCTGACAGTACTCCCCTCAAAACAGGGTGTCCCCTGGACGTCTTAGGAGCAGACTTGTGGGGAAACCTCTGGTGGAATTCACTTGTTAATCTAGGACAATGAACAGTTTCCTCAGACTCCCAAGAATTCACCTCTTGCCCATATCCTTCCCATTGAACAAGATATTTCTAAACATCCTAGAGTCAAGAATTTTTTCCACCACATATTCTTCTTCACCCTGTATCTCAACTGGTGGAGGAGGTGGAAGAAATCTTCCAGAGAAAGGGTTTTCATGAAATGGTTTGAATAGCAATATGTGAAAAACAGGGTGAATCTTAATACTGTCAGGAAGTTTTAAGTGAAAGGTGACTGGGTTGATCTAAGCAGAAATCTGGAAAGGTCCCACAAACATTTGGCCCAATTTTGCAGATGGAACATGAACCTTTAGATTTTTGGTTGACAGCCAAACCTTGTTGCCCACATGAAAGGTAGGAGGTGAACTGCGATGTCTGTCGGCAGCCTTTTTATAACATTCCCGAGCCTCCCCCAAAGTCTTGATCAACTTTGCCTGAATCTACTGCAATGTAGTTAATCTGTTGGCAGCAGCAAGAATTTGAGTTGTGATAGGGAGATCAGGAATAAAAACTGGATGATACCCAGTAATGAGGAAAAAAGGGCTGTGGGAGGTGGAGCTATATTTAGAATTGTTATAGGCGAACTTTGCCATAGGAAGATAGTCCACCCAGTCGTCCTGAAGATAAATGACAAAACACCGAAGGTGCTGCTCCAAAGTTTGATTGGTCCTCTCGGTCTGACCATTAGACTGAGGATAAAAAGCAGAGGACAGGTTAATTGTTACACCTAAATCTGAACAAAAGCTTTTAGCTTTTCCAAAATTTTGAAGTAAACTGTACTCCTATGTCAGATACCAGAACATCAAGAATTTCATGTAGTTTAAAAACATCTCGAACCATCAACTCTGCAGTTTGCTCAGCAGAAGGTACCCCCTTAAGCAGTATAAGACGGTCAATGACTATCAAGATAGTGGTAATTTCTTTTGAGGGAGGTAAATCGACCACAAAGTCCATAGAAATTAACCCCCAAGGTCTTTATGGAACAGGAAGTGGCTGGAGCAACCCCAAAGGAGAAGCTCGGGGTGTCTTATGGCGTGTGCACGTCAGACAGGAGGCCACATAGCGTTTGACATCTTTCTTATAACCAGGGCACCAGAGGTAACATGGCAAAAGTTCATCTGTCTTAGAAACCCCAAAATGTCCCGCAAGTTTAGAGTCATGAACTAATTTGAGGTCTTCAACCAGAGCAGATTCAGGTACATAGAGACGATGTGCTTGAGTCCAAAAGCTGTTCTTGTATTCAAGGTTAATGTCCTTAGGAGGATGATTGAGAAGTGAGTCATTCTCATACCCCTCTTTGAGAAGACTCAAGAATGTCTTGGTACTTGTGGCCGCTAGGAAGTTCTTTTGAATTAGGATTGAACATTCAGAGTCGCCTTCCTGGGGAGGCTCAGACAACATCCTTGATAAGGCATCGATCTTACCATTCTTCGGTCCAGGTCGATACGAGATAATAAAATTGAATCTGAAAAAGAATAAAGACCAACGTGTTTGTCTAAAAGACAATCTCTTGACACAGCGAATGAATTCAAGATTTTTATGATCATGATCAGTGAGAACAGTTACAGGATAATTATCCTCTTCCAGCAGATGCCTCAATTCAGAAAAGGCT